GCTACAGGTGATGCGACTATAATACGATCGGCATTACCGGAATGTTGTTAAGTAGCTGGATTCATGACTTTGCGGTGAGCGCGGTCGCGCATCACTGAAGAACCGAGGCTAATTTCCCGAAGCTCAATGTGCTTGGGTTTCTTGACTTTCCGGCTCTTCACGCGTAAATTCTTTTAGAATTCCTTTTTAGAATAAATCAGATACTGAGGCTGTGTGACGCTGCCATAAGTACGAATACGCAAAGAAACTTTATACAATGATAATTATTTCGTCAATACAGATTTATTCGCGATAATTACATCATAATAATTGCACATGTTTATTCGTGATAATTACAGCATAATAATTGCGCTTACGTAATGATATATGGAAGTTATAAAAATTCGTAATTGTTTAATAAAATGCAAGAAAAAAAGCGCTCTTATCAATTTTATAGACGATTTTAAGTAAATAGTTGCAGAAGATTATTAAATATAAAATCAAAATCTCGTTAAAAATATCTATTTTGATAGAAAAATTTAACAGGCTTTGAATAAAATCATAGGTACGTTGCAAATCGTCCTTAAAATTAAGCTGTCATTCTGCGCAACTTGCATAGAAGTTTCCGGCAGTCTATAAATTAAGCTTAGTCATATCAATTAAAGTTATATAAGTTTTCCACGAAGAGCCAGTAGCGAAGAAATCTAATTTTTCGTTATGAGATTTTTTAAATTTACAAAATTATATTATGTTACAGAATATATTTTATATATATATACAATATATATATAATTTTATTTTTAATATATCAAAAGTTGTTCTTATATTAAATGTTATCTAATGTATAATAAAATAATAACGTTAATGCATAAAAATTTTTGGCAAAACAGCATAATTTCAATCTTGTATGTAAACATAACTCACAAAGAAAGAGACTCAACTCAAGTGTTCCCCTTTGATTTTAATGAGCTTTTAATATATATTGTAATGTAGATAGAAATAAGGAATAAAAGGATTGCCGAAGAAATAAAAAAGCTGCAGACTTATGGTTTGATGCCTTATTCAAGTACAGTAATATTTTTTTCGTTTTTGTTTCAGACGATCCAATATGAAATCATCGACATCAATGACTGATGCGAAGAAATTAATCTTTCATAACATTTTAATAAATGGTGTTAAGATTATTTTTCCTTTCATATTTTATACTTTCAATCATACTTGAATAAGGTACCAAACCACAAGTCTGCAGCTTTTAAATTTTTTCGTCAATTCACGATTAAAAATTGCCTATTTTTATGGCTGGTTACACCGGTCTAATCCCTTAAGGATTAACTCCTTAAACACCCCTAAGAAAAAAAATTCAATTTCAATTCAATTTCAGATGATTCCAAAAATAATTTATAAAAATAATTAAAAATATTATTTAAATGAAAATATTTGTATTTCTTATAAATAAATAGTTTTATATTTAAATATTTTTAGAAATTATTGTCAAATATGTTTAAAAATTTTCTTTATTTAAACAATCTGTTTTAATTATTATAAAATACCTTTAAAAGCATTTTCAATTTTTATTTCATCGTATCGTTTATTTTCATCTACAAAACAATATTAATATTAAAAATTCATCAAAATCAGAGAGGGACACTCGAGTACCTTCCCTTGTCATTTATTTGATCATCAAGATTGCCATAAAAAATGAATTTTGAAGTTTCCTAGCTTTTCAAAGTTTTCCAGATTGAGTTTTCAATACGAATGAATAAAGAGACCTACATATATTCGGTCAAGGCGATCTTAATGTCTAATATTTTTGCATGAATTTTTAAAATTTCAAGCAAACTACTGCTTATTTATCGATTTTATAATATAATTTTAGATCGAAAAGTTAGAGTATCTACATAATATTACAAATTAAATTGACAAGCAATTAATCAATAAACTGGAGAGTAAGTGAAGTAAATAACTGCGCGTAATCAATATGCTATAATTATAATCAATATACTGTAATTATAAAATTACATTTCTGCTAATTTCAATAAAATCAATGATCGGATATTTCTGGTAATTTATAGCTATCATCAGCACAATACATTTCCATGAAATTAAGTTTAAAAACTCATATTTAAAATGAAATGAATTCCCTGAATACATGACGACTCTTCTATAATTATTATGTTTGAGAAGTACGACTGTTTACTAGCTTTCAAACTAATAGCGAATTCTAGATCGTCATAAGAAACAATAATAATTACTTACTAAAACTTAAATTAGCCAAAACGATCAAATATTGCGTCACATATGTATGAAATTGTAAATATACTTTAGATTTTATGATTACACACTGATCGCTGCGTAGTTATTTACTCTCATTTGCCTTTACATAATCCTTTTCCCCTTACAGAATTTTTCTCCCCAAAGTTAGGTGAAAGTCGCTCGCATGGAAATTCGCGCGCCCCTTGGGAGGGAAATAAAATCGGAGCAATCAAATACTTAACGTGGAAAATTGTATTCCTTGAATTCGTTCACCTCTTATACCTTTCTCCCCGTCTAAAGTTATTTGACTATCTACTCTTCGTATACAGCAGGAAAATAATGATTAAATATAACTATCAATAACTTTTTAATAAATAAGGGACGCACGACGCTAAAACTTTGGAGATCACTCATATCCTTATAATTCTTGAAGAAAAATTTCTTTTTTAACGAATACGATAGAAAACGCCAACACGATTAAAGTTAGATGTTTCGAAAATAATTATATACATATATTCTTTTATTAAATCAATTTAATTATATATATATATATATTTTTCAATCAAATTAAAATTACTCGAAGAGTAAACTGACAAGTTGCAATAGAACAGTATACCTATAATACATAACTAAAGTTTACAATTGAATTGATGACACAGATAACAATAAAAATACACACAATAGATACTACTAAAGAACATTTGGTGAGACTAATAATGATTTTTTTGTTGACACGAATTTGATCACAGCATGCCTCCGCGAAAGGATGGTAAAAAAGAGGAAAAGCGAAAGGAAGAAGGTAAAACTTATTGACAATATAGAAGAAAGCAGCTTTGAATGTGGAAGAACGATGTAGAGGGAAAGATAGAGAGTCGTGGCAACGAATGTCTAGAGGACATTACAGGAATGAAAATCGAAATTAAAGAACAGGAGGCGATGGAGTGTCAGAACACAGAAGACGAAAAATAGAGACAACATAGAATAAAATGTCGAATATATTTAGCTAATCGAAATTTTGGAAAAGAAAAGATTTGTGATCGTATTTATGGATATTATATAAGAAATGAAGACATGAATTTTGAACACGCTGAATATAATTAAACAATTGCTAAGTTAATGCTGGAATTAGCAGTAGACTGTGCCAGCATAATCAAATAAGGAGATTACGAGTAATTGAGATACCAGAAGTTTCTGTGAAGTTGAGAAGATGTAACGAAAAGGATACAGAAGCAAAGACGGAAAAAGAAGTTTTTCCATGATCAATTTAAATTTCCATAACCCAGGTTTCCTTTTCCAGGTTTTAATTTCTAAATTTCTGTGGCAACTTTATTTTATTCATACATTAGTTTTTTAAAAAGAAATATTTAAAATATGAGAAAAAATACAATATAATCTTTGTTCGAATCAGAAGAAATCTAATTGATTTCGATAAAATGTGTTAGCGTAATACGTCATGTGTATACCGCTATGATTATATTAAATCTATCCGATAGTTGCATATATATTTAGCATTTGATTTCCTCCTATATAAAAATAATATGTTTAGCTTTATAGATGCAATACTGATCGTGCAAACATTTTCTACACCGTGTAAATCTGCAGACATATATATTCTCTAAATCTAAATCAGTGGATAGTCACTCAGTAGCATACTTGATACTGACATCAGTGATCTATTGATTTAGAGAGTAAGTACGATATACCTATCCGTATTCTGTTGCAAATAAAAAACCACTGAATTTAACAGATCGTTTTCTCTCTCTCTCTGTCGCCCCCTCTCTCACTGGCAATATCAAATCGCACCGTGTGAATCAACCATGTTGCATGCTTCACCGTGACGTAGCACGTATATCGTACCAATGCACACGCACAAGCTTCAGAACATACGATCCATAATTATACTGTCACGCCCCGTGGGTGTTCAATTTGTCGAGCGCACCTCCGCTGCTTCCAACCACCTTCGTTAGATCTTTCTCTTTCTCTCTCTCTCTCTCTCTCTCTCTCTCTCGCGTCCCGCGCACCGGCCTTTTTTTTCAACTTCACCTTGCCAATGCCCTACAACCCCACCGTTCTCACGCCGATGGAAACTGTTTTTAATCGACTCCTTCGTTCAAGCCCGCACGAAACCGCGATAATGATGCCACGAGACAATCTATTTATCCAGCCCATCCTCCTTCCCTCCTTTACTTATTTCATTGTTTTTCTCGACAATAATGTCTTTAAGTTAAATATAAAGTAATTAGAATAATTAAGCAATAAATCATTAAAAGTTCTTATAATATAATGAAGCAAAGAAATTAAAAATTCCTACGGTGGATTTTAAACTAATAATTATTATACTAATGAAACTTTTTTTTAAGTATAATTGGCTTTAATATGTAAAAGATATAAAAAAGTCAATTCACGTTTTCAGTTTTATATTTAAAAATTAAAAACTTAAAATAGCATACACTGTAGAAAAATTCGTTATAATTATATAAACGGCAAATGTAAAATTCGCGCGATTAGAAATGCAAATATTTAATAAAAGTGTATAAATTTCTAAGTTACAAATTGTCTGACTTTGTACTCGTTTGCAGTTACATATTTTGTTTTAGGGTGTACGTCATAAAATGAGAATAACATATTGATCTGGAGCGTCACTAATATCGCGTGACCACATCGCATTATCAATAATCGTATCTATAATAGCGTACGTATTAACGGACACACGCGACAGAATTAGATCAGAAGATTTTAAAATTAGTAAAAGCTTACGATTTACTTACGTAACTCATCATGGGTATATTGCGAGACTCAGAGACTGTGGCCTCGACGAAGCAAGTGCCTTCTGGTCCGAAGAAGGCTACGACCCCGTCGCAGATCATGTCAAGCATTGCTCTGGTAGCTTCGACAGTTTCTCCCCTCGTATCGCTCCATCGCATCACCAGATTTATGTTTGGTAAAATATTTGGATCGTTGTTGATCTGAAACACATTTATGACAGTTATTCAACCAGTTTCACATAAAAAACGCGCTGTCGGGAAGGCGTGAGAATTTCTGATTCTGATAAAAGATATATATACCCGTCGTTATGTAAATGTGA